ATAAATTTTCTCATTCGATAGATTTTCTCGAACTTGAATAACGTTTTTTAACTTTTTTTCAAAAAAAAAATTGTAACGTGCAAAAAATTTAAACTGCATTGGTTTGTATTGTAATTGGGAAATTTGTGTTAAAATCATACATATTTTACAAAAACTGAAAAAATAAAAAGCTTAAGCAATTAAAAGACTCGCTGAACCAGCTGAGAATCATAGGCCAACGGCGACGACGGATGCTGAGGTCCAATCGGCGATCAAAGGAATAACAGCGTATAAAAATGAGCAAAACTACGAAAAGCACACATAATCAAAGCAACCAGAATAACGACGATAAGGAAGCTGGACAATATGACGAGATGTCGGACGAATTGACGGTTTCCAGCTCGGACACAGATGTTGTGCAAACGCGAAAATCACGCAAACTTCAGGTGAGGACATTCATTGCCCCATTGTGTGCTATGCATGTATTTTGGTTCAATGTTAATTTTTTTTCGTAATTCTGATCTTTCTGTTCACAGCCAACAGATGCCGCAGATCATGGGGAGGGTGGCATGTTCGACCGAGGTGGTCGGCGACGGCGCCGCAGCGGTAGACGAAGTGGTAGTCGACGCAGACGTTCACGTTCACGTTCTCGCAGACGTCGCCGCCGCTAGATGCATTTTATTCCTGGCAGTTTACTTTTTTATTTTTTGGATAAATTTCGTGTGAAGAAAATTTGCATTTTTTCTGGTTGACCACTCATGGTGCGTTTTACAAAATTTTGTATGCCTTCATGTAAATTTATTTGTGTGAAAATAAATTGCGAGTGATATTTTGCGTATGTATGCGTATGTGTTCCATTTTTAATTGCGGTGATGACAATTTTTTTTTTTTTGGTTAGGGTGCATCGGATTCTGCCGATTCACTGAGGCATATTCTTGTTTTCATTCGAATCGAAAATCGTGAAATTTTCCTATCACTTTGTATACAAAAAATTCAAATTTTCGATTCGTACGAAAACAAGGATACACCTCACTGTAATGTTGCAGAAATTGCGCAAGAAAATGATTTTTTGGATTTCATTTGCTAGTGATGAGCAAAATTATGTTGCTCGAGCGCGTGATGTAGGCAGAGTCGCCTAAATTTTCTCTTAAAACGTGATCCTCTTTCATAAAAGGTAACAGACTGTGTTCGGAAATGCATCAAACTAAATCATCAGGAAGCCAATTCCTGTTCTGTGAAAACGTAAAGTGAAAACATTTTTCATCACTTCACACAAGGCCTTGACTTCACATATGTAAAAATACGATTCACAAAGTTTTGTGGCTGTGAAAAAGAAAAGTTTTCCCTTTTTCTCAAAACCATCATCTTTGGATAAAGAATTGTCTTAAATTCACAATAATTTACCAAATAATTACTTGCCAGCTGTTAATGGAATAGCCTTTAATGATCGGCATCAGTGGCCTCTTAGTGCTGTAGGGGAGCTAAATATTGGAAAGGGATGAGATGTTTCGCCCAAAATTTTCTACTGGCGCTACGAAACCGTAGTCAAACCTATTATATTTTATGGAGCCCTAGTCTGGTGATACTCACTTGAGAAGTCTACATTAGCTAAGCAGTTGGATCGCGTACAACGGGCTGTCTAATTGGTATTAGTGGGACATTATAGAGCACCCGCAGCCCTGCCCCCCTTCCCCCACAACCATGGTACTTAACGTAATGTTGAACATACTGTTGGTCGACATTGCAAGCAAAACTGCCGCAGCGCGAACACCTATTAGAATCAGAGAATCCAAGTGGTTGACCGACTTAAGGACTAGACACTCTAAAGTTCTGGAGGTCTTCGATTTCAGCCCCGATCGCACGGGTTACTGCGCAACCGAAATTGCTGCTAGGAGCTTCTTCTCTGCCTATTTTCCCTCAGGGGAGGATTGGCCCGGGTGGAAGTACTATAGATGGGAAGCCGTGAACCTATTCACGGATAAATCGAAATTTGTTCGGCAGGGTTGAGGGAGGGGTCCTCTGTCGTATGTAGCTTTCCATCAGTGCTAAGTTCAGACTTCCGGACTGCTGCAGTGTATTTCAGGCAGAACTGGCTGCTAACTATTAAGAAGGCGGTGGATGGGTGAATTACCTCGACACTACCTTCATAGGTGCCCAGCGTTCGCAAGGCTAAGGTTGAAAACCACAGCCCCGCTGAGCTCTGGAGCATTGAGATTAGCCGAATTCGTAATTACATAATCGGCACGAGAATGTGGCATCGAAATAGGACAATCTCACAATTGTCTAAGCTAGTCCCTTACTTCTGGACCTAACCTATCCACTTATTTCGGCATCCATCTTTTTATTACATGGAAAATACGTTGCCCTTCCCTCTTCAGCTCCCGGTTATCCGAATAATCGTTATAATTTTCGATTCTAGATGTTTTCACCGATTTTAGTTTATTTCGATTATGTTTGAGCTATATTTGTTTGCATGAGTGAGTAATATCCCTGCAGGAAAAGCTACTAGTTTTTGAATCAGATTACAACCAGTTTGCTTTGCAGCTCACCTAGTTCCTCTTTACGTATAATTTTTTCACAAAGAATTTTTTTCTTTAATTAAAATTTATTAGTCTTTTTTTGCAAATGAATTAAAATTTATAACTGTATTTTTAATTTATATATATTTCACAATGACTTCAATTTTTTATTTTTTTTTGAAAATGTTCAACACTTCCGAGCGCACGTCGTACCGCAATCTCCGAACCTGTGATTTTAGAAAAAAGAAATGTTAATGCCGTTAACCGCATAATCGAAAGTCGTTCGAAATCGGCTCTTGTTCCTCGTCCAGTCCTAAATCTCTTAGGAAATCAACTGGTTATTTGCTGACATCGAATGCATGCGCTTTGGCTCCGGTCTTAATGACCCGTCTTTTCGACCATCGAAATCAGGGAGTTACTCAAAGTTTGAGCTGCATTGTTAGCGAAACTGCATGAATCATTAGGCCAGATTCCGAGTTGGTGTATTTGCGTTTAGGGCCGTTTTCCCCCAACTATGATTAACATTATTCCGCAGTTAAACATCGTTTCCGACGTTTCCGTTACGTTGCCCCTAAGGGCCGGTTGTACAATGTCTGATTAGCACTAATCGGAGGTAGAAGCTCCGGTTAAATACAGCGACTGCTTTATCGATCACATTTTATATGCATAATGTCGAAAACGTCAATAATGATGTTTAACCGGCAAGTAGTGATAACCAGACATTGAACAACCGGCCCTTAATCTATAATGACCTGCTAAGATACCGATTAGATTTCTTAATTTGTTCTTCTGTTGGTTAATAATCTTGTCATATATCGAGCCTTAACCGCCCAAAAAGACGTAAGCGTGATGCAAAACTGTATCTACATAGGTGATTTAGAAACATTTCCGCATCAAAAAGAAAATTTTGAAAAAAATGTCGCTTATGTCTTTGTGGCGGTTGGAGCTCGATATTTTCTTATTGTTCCTCTCAATAGCTTCTTCGTCTGGCACTGCCCAGGGACTTGGTTTCACTGCTGTTCTCTCCTACTACGTAAGCGCTTTCTGATAGTGTGTGGTCCTATTACAAAGAAGGGTCCCACTCCTATTCGTATTGCTTCCGCAGCCTTCCTTTATGTCTTCTTGTTTTTGTTGTTATTGTAACAGCATAAAAACCCCCCAAGCAGTTCTGGGGAATGTAGCTGAAAATCCTGGGTCAGATATATGTACATTTGTAATTTTTGTTGATAAGTACGAGTGGACATTTCAAGATGCTGAAATTTGTATGTTTATTAATTTACTGTTACACTTCTAGGAAAAAATCCCACCTTACAAATGTATTTAGAATTTCAGTTATTAGAATTGAGTGGTCTGTGGAGGTACTCTAGGTCAAAATGATCTCAGAAGAATATTTAGTACTTGAAAATATATTTTCAGGGATATATCACATTTTGAAATTGTATAACCCCAAACTTCTCTCTAAGTCAGCTGGCAAAAAGTCCGAGGAGTAATTGCAAACATACATATTTTCGCGACCCAGTCTAAGGCAGATAAATACATACATATGTATGTACATATGTACATACAGTGGCGGTCAAAAATGGATGAATGGTGTGGCTAAAAAATCGCATTGATTTTTATTTTATTTTTATTTTTTTTGTTGACGGCGTTTTGCACCTTTTGCCATATAAATATGAATTTTTTGTGGAAGAATATGCGCAAGACCGTTTGCGAAACAAATAAAAAAAGTCAACGCCAGTTTTCCTAAATTTCGCTATTTATAGGAAAAAAACCGCAAAAGCCGTCAGCAAAAAAAAAATTATTAAAAATCAATGCGATTTTATAGCCGCTCAAAACTTGCACTTATTTTACTAGGATTTTATAAGCTTTTTAACTGCATACCCAAAAAATGTCTAAAGACTTTGGTGAAAGAGCTCGAAATTTAGATAAAAATTTTTGGAATTTTTTCAACTTCTGTATGAAGTTTGAAAGTGTGGATTATATAGTTTTTGTTAAAGCAGGAACCATATTTTTATAAAAAAAAAATATAGCTTGAAAAACATTGTAAATATTAAAAACAAAAGAGCATTCATCCATTTTTTCCCGCCACTGTGTATACATATATAGCAGACTCAAAGGAATTTAGAGCTCCGGTATAGGAACCCCATAGTAAGAGAACGCAAGTATCGTTCCCACGACAGTCGGGTCTACGTAACCGGAACGACCCAGATTTATATTTGGCCAAGGACTTTCACTCCAGCAACACTCACCAAAAACTCTTTGGGGAACTTGTATGCTGCTACAACAACAACAACAACAACAGAACGCAAGTATTATTCATCCGCCGTTAGCCCTGACGAGCGCAATGGCCATGAACCGTTTCGATTCCTTCTCCGACGAACATCTGTAAAAATTATTCTCCTACCTTAACCCTGGCAACTAAGTGAGTGATAGTAGCACTAAAAGTTTCTCAAATACAACTACTGCATAAATTAAACAAATAAGAATAAGAAACAAGTCAAATGCCATGCGTACAACTACAACGAATGCTTTATGCTGAATATTTACATTATGATTGACATGGAAATAAGCAGAACAACTACATTTAATATGCGTTTCATACTTGATTATACATTGTATGTTATATTCTCGTTTGCAAATATGCCATAAACTGGTATGAAATAAAATTTGTTTACATGACCTATTATGTAATGAATGAGAAATGTATGAATACATATACTATACATATATTAGAGTTATTTATTAAGCTAAGAACGCTACCTAAGGTAGTTAATTTTCCGGTTTTATTATTTTTATTTATTTTTTATTTTTTTTTGCATTTCTTTCAGTGAGTAGTTAATCTCATGGGGTTTATAATGAAAAAATCTCGCCACCAAGCAAATTTGTTGTTCCTGTATGTTACTGATCTTTGCAATTATGAGTCATTAAAGATTTTTTTTTTCAAATTTGTTATCAAATAGCTTAATTCGAGCAAACATATTAATTTATATACATTGCAGTGAACTATTCAGATAATAAAATCGTTTCTGTAAATCGATAATACACTGCCAACGCTGTTCATTTACTGTTGTATTTTCTTTCCTCGTTTTATTAGTAAGCTTAACCCTTGCTTTTCTTATCGCGACTTCTTTCTTACGTTAGAAATTTTACATTATTTAATAATTATGTAATTGTATCGTTTTTATGTATGTATGTATATAATTTAAATAAACAATAAATCTTTAAAAATAAACATTTCTTAAGAGGAAGCAGAGAACAAATTCATTGCTATTATGTGGGTGTGTGTGTTTGTATGCTCATTTGATTACTTAAACTCATCCTGCTTGTCTCGTTGCGAGTGCCATTTCGGATATTTGCGCATATGTACATATGTAATTCATCGTTGCTTTTACTCGCCTATTTATTGGTTTTCCTACTATTACCAATCGCATTTGGCATGTATTTAACACAAGTATGCTGCGGTGTTATATGCTCTGTCCGGATTTTTTTTTTAGCCATCTAGCAACCAATTTGGCCAATGTGTACACTTTTCGATAACTTTGCGCGCAATCAATTTTATATCCTCGTATGGTCTTGGATGTTCAATCAATTCAGTCAAGATTTCAATACCATGCTCTTGCTTCACCAGTTGACAATATTTTTCTGGATAGACCTGGAGTTAAATAAATGAAGGAAAAAATGTTGGTGAGAACCGAAAAAAATAAGTGTAAAAATTATACGAAATTTTTACGCAGCTTAAGGGTGAAAACTTCAATCAAGTATTAGATACTTTATTTTTTTGTAAATTAAAACACACCTGAGTCAAATTGGCTAAAGCCCAAACAGCCCAATGTTGGCATTGTGGTGTTTCATAACAGCGTACTAGCCCCAAAATCGGCTCGAAACTACGATAGTTAATATTCCGTTCACTTTTGATATCCCAGCGTTTGATAGCTTCCACCATGCGTATGAGTACGCTATCACGTGTGGGAGATTCAATTGTCCACGCGCCAGGTCCGTCTGATGCGATGTGTGCCAGCACGCCCGCAGCATTGTAGCTTACCTATTGAAAAGTAATACATAAATAAAGCACATAGGTACGCAGTGTGCACAACTGACCTCAATTCCATCACTTGATGAATCTAATAGCTTGGCAAAAACTTCAATGAATTCTTGTGTCATAAGTTTTGGTCGTAGCCATTTTACTTCGGCAACATTACCTAAAAGGCCCATCATATTTCGCAGTAGTTCCTCACGATCAGGGAAAGTCTGTAGAGTAAAGCATATGAAGTTAGAGGGGCTGGAATGTGAGACTGCATATTGTCAGTACTAAGCTTTGTAGAGCAAGTACAGACGTCTGGGAAATAACAATGCAAACATAATTTAAAAAATACTCGTAAATACTCACACGCAAGCATTTTAAGAAAAACTCCATTCCGCGGCCCTCCAAAAATCTTTTACAATTGATTGCAGTCTCATCAGTTACATTCCACATTGTTGACCATGCCACTTCCATGACATCATCAAATACCGAACGAGTTAATCGATCCTTAATTAAACTTAACATTGTCTGTATAAAGTATGAGAAGAATTGTATTCTTATTTACTCTCTATTCACAGCAGCGGTTAGAACTTTTACTCACACTAACAACTCCCAGTTCACCTAAAAACAGCTTTTGCTTGCCATCCACTTGGCACGCCAATGTGTTTAGCAAATATATTGCTATCCTCTGCACAAAGCCTTCTTGCTCCGTCTTTGAGACACCATGCAATAAAACTTTGATAAGACGTTCGTACTCAAACAACTGCAAAAGGAAACACAAAAATTTATGGAATTTCCCCAGGCAATTCATATGCGGACAAAACTTACCACGTCGTTTGGCATTTGGAACTGTGTTAACGTTAGATAACCATTTCGTAGCATCGTATCATCAGTAAGATGTGTTTCCATTCCATTTAGCAGTGTACGAATAATATGATTTCGCAATGGTGTTCCGAATTTTGAGCGATCACGACCTTTTACTATGTAGAAGAGCGTGGCACTGCAATTTAAAATGTATAATATAAATACATACATATATGCATGCTATTAGTTTTACTTTTAACTCAAATATATACATATATATATATATATTTTTACTGAAAGTGGTGGTAATGTAACAGCGCGACACCAAATTAGTACTTAGCTTTACTTGCACTGAGCTGAAACCGAGGGAGTCTACTGTCTGCTTTAAAGAATCCTTTTGACTTTTCTTAATACAAATCCAAAAGGATTTTTTAAGGAAGAATATGTTATACGTCAGCTATAACGCTGCTATAAAAATAATAAATCGAGTATATAGAAATTGTTGTCATGTATCGTTGGCCCCTATTATTCCGTTTTAGTAAAGTTTTGTGGACCTTTAGGCCTGGCAAATCCACTATAGAGTAGGTATTTGCAATACGTCAAATCTTGGAAAAGACCCACGAGAATAGGATCGACACACACCATCTATTTGTCGATTTCAAAGCCGCTTTCGACAGCACGAATTCCGCGCTGCCGGAATTTGAGCAATACCATCAGCTCTGTTAGAATTCGGAAGGACCTCTGCGAACCGTTTTATTTCGTGTGATTTCTTTAATCTGATGTTGGAGAAGATAATAAGAGCCGCAGAACAGCACCGCTCAGGCACAATACTTTACAAAGCATACAATTGCTGGCGTATGCCGACGACATCGATATTATCGGTAATCGGTGTTTGTTCTGCCTTCTCGGGATTGGCAAGCGAATGGGTCTGGAGGTGAACGACACAACACAACAGTCAGAGCATACGCGTCTTGGCTCACACGTCCCTGTTGACAGTTACAAGTTTGAAAAAGTAGACGACGTCGTTCATTTGGGAACCAGCACTAACACTAATAATAATGTCAGCCTTGAAGTCCACTATTGCCAACAAGCGCTACTTCGCCAACAAGTACTACTTTAGACTGAGTAGGCAATTGAGAAGTTAAGTCCTCTCTCCTCGTACAAAGATCACACTCTATAAGCCTTTGCTGGTGTATGGCGCGGAGGCATGGACAATGAAAACATCTGATGAAGCGACTCTTGGAGTTTTCGAAAGATTCTGCGAAAGATTTACGGACCTTTACGCGTTGGCGATGGCGAACACCGCAGACGATTTAACGATGAGCTGTATGAGCTGTACATACGATATAGACATAGAGCAGCGAATTAAAATTCAGCGGCGCAGCTGGCTTGGCCATGTCGTTCGAATGGACAGAAACCCGGCCAAAATCGCTTAAGCGGTTACAGCGCCAATAAAGAAGAAGAAGAATGTTTTGTGCACCCAGTTTTTGGTAATGCTTTCTTACTATCTTACGTCTTTACTTTACCTTCCAGAAATTTGCATGTGTTTAAATTTCAGATGTCTATCCATAGCTGTGAGCACAGCATCCAACGCAAGATGTATGTCCTTACAAATTTCGAAGCGGAAAAGGTGGTACAAGTCATTCAAAACCTGTTTAAAATGACGAACAAGGTTAATATAAACTTCTAAACCACGGTGTTTTCAAATTTTAAAGTTAAAAATTACCCTCGTTAAAAGCATCGGTCTGTCATAGTAATATCGCGCAGCTGTCAGAATCTGGTGTTCGTTGGCATCACCCGCGATCTAACATAGTCATACAAAAAATGTGTATGCAAGTTGCAGTGTATAAGTATGTATTTTACAACAAGTTTCCTCACCTCAATCGCAGGTATATCATGCCGCTTGCAAGCTGAATGCGCCGTATGATAGAGTCCCAAAAACTGTAATGGTCGCTGTATGCGTGATTCTAATCCTGGTATGTCGGTGCGTAATTTAAAATTTGATTCTTTCGTTGCCACACCATTACCCGCCAAATTCGTACCTGATATATCCAAGTGTGTTAGTTCACGTAAATTGTTCATTAACATTTCCAGTGTTTGATCGGGCAGATCGTAAGTGCCATGCCCATTTCCAGAGTTACTAATCGAAATATCCAAAGTACGCAGACGGCGGAGCATACAAATTGCTTGGAGTTGATTAGCAATCGGCCATACATTAAACAATATAAGTGTATGTAATAGCGGCAGAGTTGCTAAGACTTCCAAGCTAAAGTTAGCTAGCATGCATGATGTCAAGTCGAGATGAGTTAGTTCGAGTAGCGAATTGAGCAGCAAGCCATTATGCAATACGACTCCATTCAAAACCAATCGGCGTAGATGCGGGCAATTAAATTGAAAATCAACAGGCTCCTTCTCATTGGGCTCAGAGTTTTGCAACATGTGCGCATTGATGCCGAGCTCCAGTGAACGTAATCCCTCGCCGTACATAGTTAGCAAGTGCGCAGATTGGACAGTTATTTGATTACAATACCATATGGTAAGTGAATACAACTTGTGACGCATAAGCAGCTCCAAACCTGTGAGTAGAAAGCATATCATTAGTTAACTGTCATGAAAGCATTGGATTTGGTACTACAAGTATGCAGTAAATAGTCGTGGAGTGGCAAGTTTTGCCTATACTTGTTTTATATACATAGATAGAAAGGAGGGCAGTTGCAAAAAATTTAGAACACGAAATCAAACTGCATTCATTGTTACATTTCACATTAGAAAGTGGTTTATGTTGAGATTTGAATAAGCATGTGCATATAAATATGTATGTATGCATGTTTGTAGAAGATAAGAGCAAGTTTTGTAAATGAAAAACTAGTTTTTCATAAGAATTTCATTATTATTAGAAGGTCGTTGACGTTCAATTCAAACTCATTTCCAACATAATCAATTAATCAATTAAGTACAACCGCTATCTAAAGTATTTGCATATTCACATACACATTTGTAAGTATGAATTTTTACATCTATACTCTCAAGCAGATTTCGATGTGATAAATTTCCAAACTCGTTAGAATATTGTCCATCAATTCCCACGTATCATTTTTCATAATTTTCTTTTATATGCAATAAAAATCTAATTTATTAAATACATACATACATATTACATTGTTATGCTTTTTACCTTCATTGGATACCGAACTATTCCGCAAGTGAACTATTTTCAATGATGTCCGTGCTGCATGCTCAAAAAGATTTATCACATCATCACTCAACTGACGCCGAAAGCGTTGATAAGCTTCCAATAGTCGATCGCAAATATCGTTTGGAAGAACGATGCCATCATTTAGATGACGTATGCTGCCGCCCATACAATCTTCTTCATAGCTTATAACATCCAAATTCTCGCATATGTATTTATAGATGATATCTTGTAGGGTCATTGGATCCTCATCAAGATAGCCATTTGCCTTTAAGCGTACTTTGCCACTCATTTCAAGGCGTGGCGTATATACCGCTGATGACGTCACTAGGATTTATTTTATGTTTTTGCTTAATATGTAGATGTGTGAATAAGGATCTGAAAGGGGAGAAAGTTATATTAAACAAAACGGGACGTTTTGTGTGTACATTATGCATGTAATGTCTTTTTACATAAAGCACATATATTTCACAAGTTTTCGTATTATATTTCATATTTTCTTTGTACTTAATTGGCAGTACATTTCTTGAAATTGATTTTGGTAAAGCATTTCATTCGCAGTATGTCCGGATGGGTGAAACAATCTCATATTATTCATAAGAGAATTCCAATACATAGCTCTGCTGCATACATATTATCAAACACATTTTCAGGCCTTGCTTACCGACTCCTTCACACCCCCTCTTCAAGCACCTTTATTCTGTTGTAGGTACTTTTGGTAAAATCGCTTATTGCAAAGATAACAAAATCGATGAGGATTTCTTGTGTATCACTATAAGGATAAACCAAAATCCTTCACTGTACTTTTTACAGCTTCCGTGGTTCAGTAATATTTTTTTTGCCAATATTTTTTTTTTTACATTCGTCGATTTTCCATACTTTCGCAGCTGATTTAATGCATCATATTTCCATAATATTAGAAAACTGTGCTTGGTTTTAAGTTTTTGTTAAATAGTTAGCACTCTTTTTTCT